CCTTCTTAATCGGACTCAAAGTTATATATTCCACTCTTCTCACTGGTGCCTCCCTTGGTCTTCTTTGTATATGCCCAAACCATCTCAACTGATTTTCTACCATTTTTTCCTCAATAGGTGCTACCCTCACTTTTTCGCGTACGTGCTCATTTCGAATTTCATCTTTTCGTGTATGTCCGCACATCCATCGTAACATTCTCATCTCTGCTACTCCAACTTTATGCTCTTGCTATCCCGTTAGAGCCCAGCATTCACTACTATATAACATTGCCGGTCTGATAGCAGTGCGATAAAACTTTCCTTTAAGTTTATTAGGCACCTTACGGTCGCAAATAAATCCTTTAGCTTTTCTCCAATTAAACCACCCAGCTTGAATTCTATGTGAAATATCTCCACTGATTTCGCCATCATTTTGAATAATGACTCCCAAATATTTAAACTTTTTCACTTGAGGTATAATTTGATCTCCCAATTTCACTTCCAAATTATTGTCGAATAGTCTCTTACCAAATTTACAATATAAATATTCCGTCTTACTCCTACTCAGACGAAAACCTTTCGACTCCAATGTCCTCCTCCATAACTCAAGTTTGCAATTAAGCTCTTCTCTTGTCTCTGCTATAAGAACTATATCATCTGTGAAGAGCATACATTTAGGAATTTCCCCTTGAATATGTTCCGTCAAAACATTTAAGATCACGTTGAACAGATAAGGACTTAGAGATGATCCCTGATGTAGTTCAATCTTTATAGGAAAATCCTTTGTTTGACCACTAGGCATTCTTATACTAGTTTTTACCCCCTCATACATATCTTGTATGGCTTTAATATAAGCAATCCGTACTCCCTTTTTTTTCAACGCTTTCCAAAGCACTTCTCTTAGTATACGGTCATAAGCTTTTTTCAAATCAATAAAAATCATGTGTAAATCTTTATTTTTACAACGATACTTTTTTATTAATCCCCTTAGTAGATAAATCGCCTCTGTAGTTGATCTACCTAGCATAAAACCAAACTGATTCTTAGAAATACTTGTCTCCAATCTCAACCTGTGCTCAATTACTTTCTCCCACAATTTCATTGTGTGGCTCATGAGTTTAATCCCTCTATAGTTAGTACAATTCTGAATATCTCCTTTATTTTTATAAATAGGAATTAATGTACTTCTCCTCCACTCATCAGGCATTTTCTTGGACTGTAAGATCACATTAAATAACTTAGTTAACCATCTCACCCCTTCTTCACCTAAACATTTCCATGCTTCGATAGATATATAATCAGGTCTGTTGGCTCTATCATTTACCATTTTCTTAAGAGCTTCCTTTACCTCCTTATCACGTATTATTTGATAGAATGACAAATTGTGTTCTCCATCACCAGTTACTAAATCCTCCAAGTTATTAGATGAACCCTCTCCATCATTGAAAAGTTTGAAAAAGTAAGTCTCCCATCTATTTTTAATTTCATCATCTGTAACTAAAATTCTTCCCTCTTCATCCTTAATACACCTTACCTGTTCCAGATCCCTTGATTTTCTTTCCCTACTCTTGGCAATCTTATAAATATTTCGTTCTGTTTCCTTCATCTCAAGGCTCTTATAAAATTCTTTAAAAGCTTTAGAACGAGCTTCACCCACAACTCTCTTAGTTTCCTTCTTAGCCATACGGTACTTCTCCCAATTTTCCTCATTGTTACACAAATGTATGGCTTTAAAACAGTTCTTTTTATACTTGATTTTGTCCTGTACACTATTATTCCACCACCAAGACTCCTTATCTCTCAGACCAGAACCTTTTGATTCTCCCAAAATTACTTTTGCAACCTCCCATATTTTTTTAGCCATATCCTCCCACATGATGTTAGCACTTCCCTGAGATTCCCAAATTCCTTTGTCCAAAAGATTTCACTTGAAAATATCTTACTTCTCACCTTTTAATTGCCACCACCTAATCCTTGGTCCTACTACTTGTCGATGCTTTTGGATTTTACTCATAATACACACATCAAGGACTAGGACCCTATGTTGTGTCATTACAGCATCTCCAGGGATCACTTTGCAATTTTTACAAAGTCTTCTATCTGTGTTCCTAACCAAAAGAAAATCAATCTGTAACCTTAAGGCTCCACTTTTGTAAGTGATAAGATGCTCATCTCTCTTCTTGAAATAAGTGTTGGCAATTTTAAAATCATACGCCAATGAAAAATCAAGAAGAGTTTGTCCTTCATTGTTTAGCTCTCCAAAACCAAGACCACCATACTCCCTCATATACTAACCAGCCTCCCTCCCAACATGCCCATTAAATTCTCCTCCAATAAAAATCTTTTCACTCTGTGGTATGTGTCAAATCAACCCCTCCAGATCCTCCCAAAATAATTCCTTAAGACTGGCTTCTATCCCGACTTGTGGTGTATAAGCGCTAACAATATTAACAGTCTCACGTCCAATTATCATTTTCAAGGAAATAATTCTGTCTCCAATTCTGCTAACTTCTACAATATTCTTCTTCCACTCCTTATCCATAATGATGTCTACTCCATTGCCGCTTACTTTTCCTGTATACCAAAGTTTGAAATCTTGAATATCCTTAGCTTCTTCTCCATGCCATTTTGTTTCTTGCAGGCAAAGGATATTGATTTTCCTTTGAATCATAACCCCTACAACCTCTATAGATTTACAATTCAATGTCCCAACATTCCAAGTACCAAATCTAATTTTGCTCTCATGGACTAACCTCTTTAGCCGCACACGTCCAGAATGACGCGATAGCCCTTGCTCATTTAACACTACATCCGGGCGCCAATGCAGCAGCTCTAACTCACTTATCACTATACTCGAGCCATGCAACGCGTTACTTACGAGCAACGACCTAGCATTAACATTATAACGTCTATTGTCCATATTCATGATAGATTCAACAAAGTTTTACATTGGCTGTTGATGGCCTAACACAACCCTCCTCCTTTACCTGGGCTTGGGACCGGCTATAAACATAGGCGGAGTTATATATATATATATATATTAATACAAATCTCATAAAATGATTCTGATTGGTCACATGAAAATCTCTCCACTCTGATTGGTCAGTACACTTTGTTAACATGTTAATTCTTCTCTCTCATTGGTCCATTCCATTTATTATGCATCCCATTATATTGCTTCAGTTGCCATGGGCGACCTCTCCATTTTCAAATTTCGAATGTATAATTCAAAATTCATGGGAGCATTAACTCCAATGGTCCAGCGTTCTCCATTTACACGATAGCAATTAATGTCCACTGATCTTCCCCATGACTCTTCTATTTCCCCATTTTTCCAAACGGAGCTCCACAGATCCTGAGGAAATGTACACTTACAATAAAACTCATTTATAATAGAACGTGTTTCATCATTACTAAATTTCCATACAAATATTTATTATTGGCTTTACTTTCGGCCATTCTCAATTGATTAGGTGTCGGAATTTAAGACGCAAATCGTGAGTCCTTGATGTTATAAATAAAACATTCTTTTGTTTTTTTATTTTCAATTCAAACAAAAAAAAAACCCCATTCAAGGGTGAGAGAATATATTGAAAACCAAAATATCATTAAATCAGTTCCAAAGTGTGTATGATCATTCTTCAGCCCCCTCACAATTGGACCCAATCATCATGATTAGTCAGTCCCCTATGAAAGATGCTTTGTCTTGATTTTTGACCATACAAAATGGTGTATTTTAAAAGGACAAAATTAAAAGCCAGTACTTTATCGTCATTGGGTCCATTCTCCAATCAAATTTTGCTTGTGCTTTATTTTTTTTCAGTGTCAAAATTTGATTGGACCAATGGGCCAAAGGGATATAAGGCACTTGATTTTACTTTTGTGCTTTTAAATCTCTCTTGAGAACATGTATCGCTAGACCAAATCAACCATTCACTTGATTTTTTTTTTTTGGTGCGAGAAGCACCATTCTCTTCAACCAAAAATATATAAACATGGAATACAATCACCAATTAATTCAGTTGTTATATTGCTTAATTATTACAATTACCGATTACTAGAATCGCATCTCCCAAGGCTACCATTTTTTTAAAAATTTTTTTACTAGTTTTTGACCCGTTGAGTGTACGGATATGTTGAATCATAGGATAGATACTCCTTCCGTTTTTATATATAAGAGTGTTCCATTATTATTTTTTAATTTCATTCCAGTTTTGCAGCTGAGAGATCGTTCCTTTCGCATTTCTTTGAAGCCATTCGTATTCTTCCCTATTCCTTGTATCATATCAGTTGTCACCAGGAATCATTATCTTATATTGGCTCACAGTTTCTTTACTACCAGATCGTTCTGTTCACTCTGCTTTCCTTGCAATTCGTATTCATACCCCTTAAATCCAGACGACAGGTTTTTCTTACACATCCTCTTTTTCTTCATCCATTAATTTCATTCTGTGCTCTCTGTTCTGATATTCAAGCAAGTTTCTCATTCTCTCTAACAAAGGTTCTTGATTTTTGGATGGATCCCGATCGTTCTGTTCCTCTCCTGATCATTTTAGATGGCGGTTCAGATTTGGTAGCGCAAAGGGAGCAAGAGAGACAGTGATATATTTATTCTTCTTCTTCGCGTGGCGGAATCCTAGCAAGCAACAAAGCGAGCGAGCCCTCTGGGGCATCGGATCGGAGTACTAATACTTTTGAGAGGTTATATAAAGTAAGTTACTTCCTTTGCCCTGTTAAGGAGTTATTGACGGATTTTATACTAAGATTGTAATAGTTAATTACACTTATCTTGATCCTTCACCCTAATTTTAATTTTTATAATCCTTTATATTAAATTTTAACAGTATTAATCCCTCTTCTTAGTTTTCCCATGTTATAATTTTTTATTGATGAAGGGTAGTTTTGAAAAATTATTGAAAAGGGAGACATATTTAATGAGAATAATTAATTTTAACTAGTTTAATTATATTTTCTTGATTTGTAATCTCAGTCTGTCAGTGCCTGCTCATTAATTAAAAAAAAAAACCTTAATTTGTGTAAAACTTGTTAAACGTTTCTTATAATTTTAAAGAATAATGGAAACATGAAGACATGCATGATATATTTCAGAAACTCTAAGCTATATTATAGCAGTAGTGTGTTATATCGGTAAACATTCGGATCTCTCTTGTTTTTCTCTAATAAAATACGAATTGAGCCATTTAACAGGCATTTTTTTTTAATAACTAGATTAGACATTTGTTCCATGTATAGTTTGTTGGAAAATCATAGAGCTGAATAAACAATTTAGATGATAAAACTAAGCACATGAGTGGGCAAAGCCCCATCATCTTTTCTCAACAATAAACCTGGGCTATCCAAAGTTTATATAGCCTCAAAACAGAATCAAGAAAGCTAGAAGAAATCTGAACGAGTACGATAGGAGCCGAAAACTCCAGGCCGAAAACAAAAGCCCATAAACATTAAGATGGACTATTTATCTGGACTGGACTATTTTTCAACAAAGTTCGAGTTTGATATTATTTATAACTTATGAGTAAAGCTTTACTTAATTTCTATGTTTTATTTATTTTACAATGCCAGTGTTATTATATATGACACCATGCCTTCTGGAAAATGTTGAACCTCGACAGTACAATCGACTCCTATGGAGAATATTGTTTACTTTTCATTCTGGGACCACCCACCCCACGACATTTAATTTTCCAACTCACTTCTGCTTCTCCAGCTGGCTGCTTCTAATATAAATCATTAAATTCTGTCCGCCTTGTCGGCTATGGAAGAAAATAATACTACGAAAACCGAAGTTTAATGAACGAGAAAGCGTGTTCTAATATTTTTTCCCACTTGGTAAAAATAATTAATATTTTAAAAATAAAAAAAGTTTTTAGGCAAGTTGTTGGGTCGAGAATCTCATGAAAAGTTTATTATTTATTTCAAAATAGCAATATAGAAAAGTAAAAAAAAAAATTGGGTAAAAGCATTGGTGTCCGAAGATGGAATCTCAGTGAAGTCAGTCAATTAGGCATATCGTAGAGGCGCTTCTGCGAAGTTACATGCATGGGCAAGTCAATCGGATCTGTATTGAAGTCAATGGGATTTAATTTGCATGATTTGCTTGGAAACATTTATAAATTTGGACGTGATCGATGAAACTACTAGCTATATAGCTACGTATAGCATAAGCATATCCACCCAGAAGAGAGATCAATGGGAGTGTCATCGTATGTGTCCCAATTTCTGATGCTGCTTCTTCTTCTCGCCTCCAATCTTTGCTTTCACTCCCACAATGACACTGCAGGTATGCCTCATCACAGCTTACTATACGTACTCGCTGCTCTGTTTCAACATGTATATTCGGATCCACATATACTTTTTAAACATGAGTTTGAGAAATATTGAATCAACTCACGTTATTTAGTATTTATAATAAATCATAAATATATATGGAGTGGTGAGATTGAGAATTGCTATTATGCAGGGATGACCATGAGAAAACTGGCAGGCGCCCTGCCGAGGGCCCCACCTCCACCGAAACGATCTCCTGTTTGGACTCCTCGCCGACGTCCACGTGTCCCTTCAGTGGCCCCGCCGCCGCCGCCACTATAGAACCTTCAATTTCCAGACCAGAACGCATGTGTACGTGTAAGTATGGGTTATTTAATTTCTTCAAGAGATTATATTATGGCATGAAATAATAATGCCCTAGGGCAGCGAATGTAAGGTGATTAAATTAATGGATAGCCTTACTGTTAAACAGTGTCTGTGCATCACTCATGCAACATGGTATCACAGTCGAAGGTTTTATCCTTTTGTTGTTGCATATTTCATTCGTTATCCATAAGAGATTTTCTTCTTAGAGTATTAGAAAACAAAGCAACATTGCCGCGGACACCACAAAGCACGCATAATTGCTTTCCTTTTAGGGATTCAAGTGTGCCTTGCCAAGGCTCGAAAGCGTGGCGGTGGCAAGCTTTAATTATTCTATTTTACCGCTATAATTTTTTATTAACGAAGATAATGACAGTCGGAGCTCCAGTGCATGATTACGTATATAAATAACTTCCTAACAAAAATTAAAGATGTACATATAATTAAATTTTCATATAATTGAACCTATTTTTAATATGTTCAATCATTTTAATTTAATATCTTTCTTAATCATTGGAGTGAAAGAGATAGCATATCACAACGACGCAATGCAATCGCAATCGCCCAAAACTGTAATTTAGAAAATACATGCACTCTGGAAGAGTTTGATCCCTGAACGCTTCAACCTGACAAAACTGTGTTTCTTTTTACTTTTCAATTACACGTGGGTTTGGCGTATGATACAAAGTTTAAGAAATAATTCATAATAATCAGTATTCATGAATAATATGACTATGTTATAGTATGATATAAAGATCTCTGGGATTAATGAATGAATTTTGTAGACCACACTAACCCACGCCAACAACATTTTTCTCTGCTAAACATTGTTTGACCTGGCTAAATACAGAACACGTTGTTGACTAGGAACAGAAAATGAAACAAGCTTGATGTATAAGAAAGCGCTGTATGCCCACTATTATTCTATAGCTACGCTACGGCAAACATCAGTGTTAATAATGGTCCTTTTTCGTGAAGTCACATGTTTGAAAATATGCACAAGTTCGCAAATCATTAATGATTCAAATCCAAGTCGATATAGGTACATTTGCTTTGAAAAACTTATAAATTTGAGCGCATTGAAGCAAATAGCTAAAGCTAGCTAATACTAGAATTACCATATCCATAAACAAGAAGAATAGAGATCGATGGGTGTGTCTTCTCTATACCGTTTTCTGATGGCTCTTCTAGTTATCATTTCCACTCTTTTCTTGCAGTGCCCCAACGCTAATGCAGGTATGCGTCTGTATTTTTGACAGCCTTATACTAGACCGTCATTGTGTGTATGTAGAGTTCACCAATTTGGAAGACACAAAATTGGTTGTATTCACCTTAATAGATTGTAATATGGCATCATCAGATTAAATATAAATTGTTAGAATATCCAAATATAAGTGGATTTGAGTTGATATATAAAGTCTCACATTGAATAAAAACATAGGCTTTTGAATTAGCCTATGACATCCTTACCCTACAATCTTGCTCTTGAGTACTTACTCCCCATTCTGTTGCATGTGTTTTGACTATTAGAAGATAAAAGAAAGTCCTACATCTAAAAAATTAAAAGACAAATCATAAATGTATAAGTTGAGGAAGTATCTAACTAACTGGCTTAAGCTATTTTAATACTATCGTTAAGCACACTTAATATAAGATTTTTAATATGGTATCATGAGCCATTTTGATCAGGGACAAAAAAAATGAGAAAAAAATAAAAAAAAATGAAAGATGAAAAAGTTAAGAGATTAAAAAAAGAAGGATAGAAGAAAAGAAGAAGTGAATAAAACTGAGGCTTTTGAGACTTAAAAAAAGTACAAGCCCAAACAAGAAGAAGAAGAAAAAAAAAGAAAAGAGAGTAGAAAAAAAGAAAAAAAAAGTAGTAGAGGAAATATTAAATGATAAAAGAAAGTCCCACATTTAAAGATTAAAAGACAAATCATAAATATATAAGTTTAGAAAGTATCTAACCAAATACTTAAACTATTTTAGTGTAGTATATTATCCTTAAGTACACTTAATATAAGATTTCTAATATTGACATGATTTGAAAAACAAAAAAAGAGTTTAAAAAATAATGAGAATTCATGACAGGAGCTATTACATGTGCAGGTATGACGATGAGGAAACTCGCAGGTTCTCTGCCAAGTAGACAACACATGTAAGGAGTTCCAGCTTTTAAATCCCCTCCACCACCACGACGGCCGGGTCCGACCCAATTTCCTCCACCTCCACCGCACTATAGCTAGATATTTTCTAGAATGATCAAGAGAATTAATAAAGGGTGTGTGTGTTTGTTTCTTTTCTTCATGGAGCGAGTGAGTAGCAGAATCTGGATTTCACATGTGCAAGGAGCATATATATACGTAGTTTCTTTATTGTAATATTGAACACCATCATCTGACTGATACACTTTGCAAGTGCCATGGAATTGATGAGCTAGTCAATAAGTCAAATGATGGGGCTAATATCTGTGTGTTTACAGCTAATTGAGATGTCCAGTGATGGCGAGCATTTTAAAGCTTAATATTCGATGAAGGGTTTGGAGGGCCTTGGTTTTCAAATCTAGAAAAATCGAAAATAGACTCATTTCCTGGTTAGCTTTTTTTTTTTTGGCTGAATTTTATGGTTACTTAACTTCAATTCTCAAGCCTTCCAAGCATTCCAATGGCTAGTTCGTATATTTTTTAATAATATATTGTTTGATATATATATATATATTATATCAAAAGAAGAAATTCATTTTAACTTTATTAGTAAAGAAGTGAACACAGAGAAATGTGAGGTGATGAATTCGAGATAAGGATTCAAGTGTGCCTTCCCTAAACTCAAGTCTATGGCCTCATATTCTTTAGCGCTAATTGTGTTCATTTTCTTATCAATTGATTTGAAATGAATTTATAATCTTACATAAAAAATAAAATATATATTATTTAACTACATAGAAAAAATAGGTATTTTTGGTATAATATATTTGTTTTCTATTGCATTTTTCATTATTTACGTGGACCATTAAATTTTTATTTTTAGTATATCCAAATTTATAATGAGCAGGGAAACTAGATTTTATCCGGCGTTGAGATAATTTGCATGTATCAAGCTATCTAATATCTTTCTTCCTAATTATTGCAATTTAATATCTTTATTAATCATTGAAATGAAGGAAATAATACTTTCTCCATTTCAAATTATAAGACATTTTTAAACAAAATCACACATATCAATAAACCTCATTAAGTATACTTAACAACCTTATCTTTCCAAAACAAAAATATAAACTTTTTAAAATATCCATCATTTAATATATTGAAAAGAGAAGTAATAGAAATTAATTACAAGTAGAGAAAGAATAATATTGAAATTGATATATTTAATGAAACTTTAATCTACTCAAAGTATCTTTTATTTTGAGATGGAGAAACTCTTTTAAAAGTGCCCTATATTTTAAGATGGAAGGAGTATATCACAACTACGCAATGCATTGCAATTGCAACCAAAACTGTAATTAATTAGAAGACTAAAATTAACCTTCCCGCACCTTTACACCTACCCAACAATATTTTTTATTTTTCTGCTAGCATTGTTTGACCTGCCTTCATTTTTATAGTAAATACAGAACTCATTATTGACTAGGAACAGAAAATGAAACATGATTGGTGTGTAAGAATCAAAACGCGCGCGTTGTCGCTGACTAATACTGCTATATATGCCCACCATTGATATTCTATATCTAGGTCACGTCAAACATCAACATTACTGGGCCTTTTTCTGTGAAGTTACATGTTTGAAAACAATGCACAAGTTCACAAATGATTATTCTAATACAAGTTGATGTAAGTATCTACTTTGAAAACTTTATAAATTTGAGCGCATCGAAGCAAATAGCTAAAGCTATCTGCTAGCAAGGATTAGCATATCCATAACTAAGAAGAATAGAGATCGATGGGCGTGTCTTCTCTTTACCATTTTCTGATGGCTCTTCTAGTTATCGTTTCCTCTTTTTTCTTGCAGTGCCCCAACGTTAATGCAGGTATGTTTCTGTATTTGTTATACAATCTTATACTTTACATAATACAGTCATTGCGTAGTTCCTCAATTTGGAAGACGCAAAACATTGGTCGTACTCACCTTAATAATAATGATATGGGATCCATATTAAATATGTATTGCCAGGATGTTCAAATGTAAGCAGACTTATACTAAGTTGATGTGTATGAAATCTCCTCTGAGATAAAGTTTGCTTTAATAACTACTATATAATAAAGTGAAATGACTCAATCATAAACTTAAACCTTTACGCCGTTCTTATTTCTGAGCTGTCACTCCCTATTCCTTAACACAGACACACATACATATGCAGGCATGACGATGAGGAAACTGGCTGGATCTTTGCCAAGAACACCACCTCCACCAAAAGGGTCTCTGCGTAAAGCACCTTTCAAACCACATCCAGCACGGCCCCCTCCACCACCAAAGTATAGCTAGACATTTTAGGGAATGATCAACACAATTAATAAAGGATCTATGTATTGTCACACGATCACGTCTCCATTATTCTTTCCTCACATGCAGAGCGAGTAAATTGCAGAAGCTGGTCTTCAATTTTACAGGGAAACTTATGTAACTTCTTTATTGTAATATTCAACACCGTAATCATTCTTCTCTAAATTCTCAAGGGTGGGCCAATACACTTTGTAAACAATAATAAAAAAATAAAATAATATTTTTATAAAAATAATTTAAATTTAAATATAATGAATTCAAAATTTAAAATCTATTAGATTTAAGTGAAATATAAAAACACCCAAATTTTTAAAATTCAAATATATTTAGTTTAGGTCTAGTGGATTTAAAAATATTGTATCAATGAGAATAATTTTTTAGAATTTCCACCTACTCCTCATAAATTTAATGCCCTCAATTGTATGTGCCTCGGCCACCGCGAGGGCTGTGGAATTTATATGGTCAACACTATAATTGTAACTGATCCTACTCTGCCAGCTGGTTTCATCTGGAATATTTTGCAATTGTGCACGATTAAATCTTGGGAGAATCACACCTAATGAAGAAAGAAATTAGATCCCTTCAAAAATTGTAATGAGAATGAAGGACTGAAACAAGAAATGAATAAAACGGATTTGAAATGACCGATTACAGTTCTTTAATTAATCTCGATACAACTGGAATTTAATTTTTCTCCTCGGACAACCTACGTACCGAAATCCATGTTAGTAAACATTAGTATTGGGTACCAAACGACTTTTTCAAAAAGTTTAAAAGTTAAAAAAAAAAAAGCACTCTACTCCTCATAAATACTTATTGGCGTTATTGTAATTAAGCATTTTCTTTAGTACTGATATCTTCTCACAATTAATTCAAAGATCCCTCTTTAGCTTTTTTATTTTTTAAAATTATTGTAAAATATTGTTTGTGAGGTTCAAATATTAGGGCGGTCTAATTTTTCATTTGAATCTCGTGTTTTACGTGTGACAACGACGTTGGCTCTCTCAATTGTTATTGGCCAAATTATGTATACTGAATAAATTAGTGTGATAATGAGTATATAAATTGGAGGTGTATGATGATTGATGAGGAAGGGAAAACAAATAGGAAGAAAGAGAAGAATTAAGAGAGAAGAATATTATTCATCTCCATTCTTATCGCTGTCCCGTTCACTGAAGCTTCTTCAGGTTTGTGCAGAATCCGAACCTACCTTATTGTTTCGGTCTCATTTTGACAATCTCTGTCATTTCATACCCTCAACAGAATAAGCGAGTGTTTTATTTTTAATTTGTTAAAAATTAGTTTGATGAAAGTTCATTTAATAAAAATCAATTTAATAAAATTCAATTGTTATAACAAAATTTATGTTTGGATATATTTTTTCAAAAGTCAATTTGACAAACTAAAAGATGTTTGAATTATATATAATGAAATGTACAATTATAAAAAAAGATATTAATTTTTATTGTTTATAATTTTTTTATACAAATACTTCATATTAGATTAAAATGTCTTATAAAAAAATTAAGATTATAAGTTGTATTTAATGAACTTTGTTTATATATGTGTAATTTAGCAAAAAAGAATGTTTTGTAAATTTAGATGGAGAGAGTATTAATTAACATATTCCCTTAGATGTTGGCTAAGGGAATATGTTAATTAAGTAATTATAAATTATAAATGAGTAATATATATAGATAACGCAATAATTGTTAATAACTTATTTAATTAATTTTAATAAAAATGTATCATTGAACTAAGAGAAATTAATGTAAAAAGAAATAAAGGATGAAAATGCAGGAAAAATATCACTGAACCAGGAGAAAAAGAAAGGAAAATATAAAAATAATTTGATATAAAAGTAAAGTAATGGAATGGAAGCAAAATAATTTGATACAAAAAAAAAATCATCTACTATGGGAATGGAAGCACAGTAAAAGAAAACTACGGCAAGATAATTGTTGCTCGTTAGTGCCGTGTAATTGAACAAAACAAATCATCAAATCACATGCAAATGAGTTACTTTTTTGACATGTCTCGGAGCAATTTGACGGAAGGAAATGTGAATGTACTTTTGAAAAATTTCACTGGGTTAGGTTGGCAAATTTACATTCCGTTTGCTTTTGAATGTGCTTTTAGAAAGTCATTTTAAATAGTTTTAAAGTAGCCAAACAACATTTAACTTTTTAAATATAGGAATATGCTTTCAAAAAGTTAAATATAGTGAATCCAAACGGACGAAACTGGGAATTCAATTAAATGAATGTGTGAGCTGATGATGTTTTGTTTAATTTGCAGATATGATGAAGATGAGGAAACTGGGTAGTTTGCCAAGCTCACCTACTGTGCCCCGCGGTTCCCCTCCCACCGCTCTGGATCATGGTCACTAGTCATTCATAGTGGAAGGACTCTTAAACTTAATTCTTGATATTTTAAATTAAGATGTAATCTGAATTCTACCATGTATTTGAGTTCTGAGATTTTTTTTTTTCTCGGGCACTGGTACATTGCAAAATTTTTAAGTTTAGAGATGTTATTATCATGCGTTCTCATTTTTTCATAAATTAATTAAGGATTGTAAGCAAAGAACACTAGTTTGCGATTGTTGAATGTCAAATGATTCTTCCAGGATAGAATTTGCACTCCTAATGACTATTGAGTCTACCAATTCTATTTGAAAATTTCAGCCCATTTATCAAACCAAGCCAACCTAACAAGGACCGAGGGCAATTCCGTTATCTGCTATGCATGGGCTTGGTCCAATGCAACCAGATTCATTAAAAAAAAAGGGCGGTCCTTTATTAAGAATATTTTGTAATTTAAATAAAAAATCTTTGAATGAAGTTTTGAAATTATAAATAATTAAAGGGATCGGGACTCTAAGTATGATTGTAGTGTTCAAACCGCAAAAGACAAGACACAAAACTACTATAGTAAACAATATTGGGTCTCTAATGAATTTTTTAAAAGAAAAATAATGAGAATTAGCCTATTTTTCATTAACACATGCATGTGCTGTTGTTGACAATAGTAATCCTATTAAATGTTAAGAATTATAAAATGTTAAGTAAAGAAGATCATGATTTCTGATGGCCCAGAATGTAATATCTGAAATGATTAATTACCAAATATTAATGGAAAATAGTTTTCTTTACGGATCATAAAGTGAATTATAGCGGCCCTTAGCTTTAAGCGGAGACAAATGTCAATATCCAACAGCGAAAGGTTGGTAATTAATTTTGCAATAACTTTATAAAAAGGAAGGCAAACTATAGAGTGAATGTAAATTAAAGTCAAAGTGAAAACGCGGCGTGAGCATTTGAATCCTCAATCATGTGTTCTATGTGAGTGATGTTTCCATCGCGAGTCCACGTGGATGCGGTGTGAGCTTAATCCATCAACATATCAAAGTTTTGCTGCAATCATGATTTTCAAGGATTAATTACTGAAGTCTTTCTTTGCATACTCGGTTTCATATTTAGGGCGATCTTTGAAACTTTGAACCCTGTGTTTGACGCGTGGTGACCAAATTGTTTTAACACAACGACTAAACTATAAAAATGCTTGAATGAATTGGTGCGGCGATGAGGATTGAAGAGAGAAGGAGATGGAGATGAACACGGGCATGTCTTTTGTTTTGCGTTGTGTGATGTTATTATTCATTGTCTTCGCTTCTGCCTCCATTCCATTCACGACCCAAGCTGCTTCAGGTTTGCTTTTTGTTTTCTCTCTCACATCACAACAGATTACTATACATGTACGTTGTGTCATATTTGGGATTTTCAAAGGAATAAATTAAAGAAACTGGAATTTTCAATTAAATGAATGTGTGTGGTGATGTTTTTAATTTGCAAGATATGAAGATGAGGAAGCTGGGTAAGTTGGCGAGCTCCCCTCCTGCGCCCCGCGGTTCCCATCCTGCCTCTCCGGGCCACGGCGACTAATCGATTATATATTTATTTCTTTACATGAACTGAAATAAATCTGCCGTTACGTTATCACACAAGTCATTCCTTTATTTTTATTTTCCTCTTTTTTTTTTTTTTGAGTTCTGCTTGCGTAAGTACTAGTTGTAATCGCCTCTGGTTTTCTGAATTAATTTTATCGAACACATACAACTCGAATTAGATGAATGAGTAGGCGTGCGGAGATGGAGTTTATGAGACATGCAAAAACATTTCTACCGATTGTACATGAAATTTAAAACGCATTTAAACGGACCCAACCTGGGGAGGACCCACCAATTCCATTACCTGTACATGAACATGACGCGACGGGTCTTCCCCAACCAAGTTTAGCATCTTTATGAAGGATGGTTTTGTAATTTTAATGAAGAACAAATATTTATATAAGACCATCCTAGAATGATGATCACGTTCGTCTAAAAACAGTTATTTTTCTAATTAAATGATGGATGCAAGGTTTTGTGCCTTATCAATTTTTTTTTTTCATAAGTATAATGAATAAGCTTCCTTGATATGAGAGAAGAATAATTTTTTTATATATCATCCAAGTTGCTTTTAAATTAAATTTAAAATTTTTAATTTTATCTAAAATCTAAATAAAAAATTTTAATATTATAATTTAAATAAAATTTTTTATATCATGCAAACGAAGAATTTAAAATTTATAAATTTTAAATATAAAATTTTAAATTTAAATTCTCAATCTAAATCCACCCATTCAAATACAAGCATAAAAAATTGTAAGACTTTACGACAGAAATTCTTGAGGGTAAATATCATGTCTTTCTCATTTTGTCCCTAAATCCTTTATTATTATAATTAATAAGTGAGAAAAAGCATTTAGTCATATTATATTTCTCGCATCCACATTAATTAATATATGGAAATTTAAAAAATAATTTTGAAAAGTACCAAATATTCTACATTTTGAACTAAGTTTAGATGGGGAAAAATGTCTTACAATCTGGATTAAAAAAAATTACATCTGACAAGATTCAGATTGAGGTAATAGTGGGACATGAAATCCTCTGGGTAAGAGAGGAAGATCTGTTACAAAAATTGGAAGTCAATGATCTCTCTAATAATACAAAAATTGGTTCCTACGTATTGGCTGTTGCATTTGCAGTTTGCGATATATGTACGAAAATGTTCCACGGATCACAGAATCTATTTTTTTTTTCAATATATACCAAAATCAAC